TTTGTTTTCTCAAAACTATCTTGTAAAAAACTATGCAAAACTAAGTTTAAAAAGTTATGATTGTATATCATAAAAAATATGCAATATCATATATATTATCACTTATGTTTCAACATTCAATTAATCAAACTAAATTACCAGAATTTTGGCTAGAATTTTTAATTTATTTGCAACAGATTTGTTGCAAATAAATCAAATGCCACAAATTTTTGATAAGGTATCACATAAACCTTTAATATTTAAACTTGAAAAAAATGGCATTGTTGGTAACCTTTCTTGGATAAACCCTTTCTTTTCAAATCATTGAAAGTGTGTTGTTTTAGGAGAAACAATATCTGATAGCGGTGTTCCTCAGGGTTCTGTTTTGGAACATACTTTATTTATTATATACACTAATGGCATGCCTGATAAGATAAATAACATTTGTAAAATGTATCTTAATGACACAATGATACTTGTTATAAACAAAAACAAAAAAGACTGAATGACAACAAAGTGATATCAATTGGATTCCAGAATGGACAAAAATATGGCAAATGTAACTCAACCAAAGTATGTGTAAAATAATGCATTTTCTAGGTAGTTCTAATTTACCAAAGTTTGATTGCTGTATAAATGACCTTAGAGAATTAAGCTTGAAGTAACATCAATTGAACAAGACTTAGATATAATATTGTCCTTTGATCTTAAATTCCGTGATTAATTCACAAAAGCAACATATAAAGCAAACTTTTTTAACTGTGATTAACAGTGATTGATTGTGTTTAAATATGCATTTTACATAATTTTATTTCTGAGTTTCTTCAGTTTTTATAATGGTTTGTCATTATTTAAAAAAAAAAACCCATCTGCCTCATATACTTTAGAAGGTATTGAGCTAGCCATAGCAGAAAACTTGGAATTCTAAAAAATATATTTATATCTAGAAATGCTACTATATAGAGTAACTTTTATAAATTTGTGTGCGCCAAAATTTAGAGTATGCAGTGTCAACATGGTCACCTCATTTTTAAAAAATATTAAAATTTTAGATAAAATTCAAAAACATGCGAAGATACCAAAAGTATTGGAATTTTATATAAGGCGCGAGCTTATCAAAAATACCACACAATCTTTGTGACCTTAATTACTCTAATTGCTGTTCTGCGCAAATGCTCATCACTTGAAAACAGACAATAATGGGGAGACCTAATTCAAAAGTACAAACTAGGCAGTTTTAAAAATAAAGTAGTCTGACGCAAAGAGCCTATGAAGGTTTCTCCACAAGCTGACCAGTGTTTACTGCACTACAGAGAAATCATAAAGAACTGCGCCCAAAGGTATCATTTCTTTAATAATAGAGTTGCTTCTGTGAGGAATTTCTACCAGATGTTGTCATGCGGCAAAGCAAAAGCTCTTTCAAAAATAGCATGTACAAATGCACTTTTATTGATGTTTTTTAGCTTTGTCTTAAAATTTTTTTGATGGTACTTTAAATTTTTTTAAAGATGGTTTATAAATTTTAAGAACTGGTCATTTCTAATTGTTTTATATAGTTTCAAAGTATTGCAAAGTCAATAGGGTAGCCCGAGGGTAATCTAAATGTGGGGCTAATGCAAATAGTTTATTTTTTTCTGACCTTTTTAATGTATTATTGAAAAATTAAGTGTCAAATTCTGATTAAACCTGCTCTATATAAAGTATAATTGTGGAATCACAATATACAACCCTCAGAATTAAGGTCAGCACTCCACAGTGCTGACCTAACTGCCTATCTTAATGTGCTTGAGGTTGGCAAAAATTTGCCGACCTCATTTCTATGTTTTATGTGAAGATCTTTGTATTAAATTTTTTTTGCTGACCTCTAATAGATTGAGGTTGGCAAGTTATTACCGACCTCATTTTTCCTAATTCCGAGGGTTGCAATATTCTTATACTTTCGAAAACAAGATGGTTTTGGATAATATTTCTGTTTTCCCATAGCTGCTAAATATTTAAAAAATTTGATTGAACATTTTTTTTAAATAACCCATTTATTTATTATGTATTTCTTTTACAAAGATTTTAATATCAGAATTTTACTTGAAATTTGTTGAGTATTTCGTTTTTTGGTAACTATTCCACCAGAATTTTGACATTAGAAAACTGGGGCTAATCTGAACATTTACAGGACTAATCTGAACGTTGTTGGAGTTGGTCAGTATCCCTATGCTTTAGCGTTTATATAATTAGTTATAAGTAAAATTTTAAAAAATTAATTTAATTAAGTTAATTAAACCTCATTCACATTATAACATAATGATTGTGTTAGCTTGAATAACTACTTGGTTTTATTTGTTTCAAAACAAAATCTTCAACAAATAAAATTCTTAAAATTAAGTTTTTACAGATAAACATTCTTTTACTTGGTTTCTTTATTTTTCTTGTTAACTTTTACTGTATCACTTTTTTAACAGAGATTGATTGTGTTTAAGTATGCATTTTACATAATTTTATTTCTGAATTTCTTCAGTTTTCATAATGGTTTGTCATTATTTAAAAAAAAAAAACATCTGTCTCATATACTTCAGAAGGTATTGAGCTAGCCATAGCAGAAATTCAAGCAGGTGCTTCAATATGTGCGGTTGCATCAATGTATAACATTCCTGTCGCTACCCTCTATGACCAAGTATCTGGAGAGTCAAAAGTTAGTAAAGGGCATCTAACAGCCTTATTTTTTAGTGAAGAGAAATACATTGCATCCTTGTTAGATTATTCATCTGATGTCGGTTGGCCACTAAATTGAAAAGACATGAAAGCCATTGTCACCCAATTTTTTAACAGTTGTAAAGGTGAAGTATTTCTCTGGGATAGTAACAGGCCAGGTGATGACCTCTTACTAGGCTTTGAGAAAAGGTTTCTGGAATACCTAAAAGAACTCCAGAAGTTTAATATGGGGAAACGTTACTGGTTTTTTTTGTCCAACCTTTTGTAGTTTGTAAAGACAAAAATCTTTGCAATACTTTGTGCATATGGGGTCCTAATTATGTCTAATAAAGTCTTTGAAATTTGGTTTATCAAGGTAAGTCTGCTAGTAAGACCTTTTCAGTATAAACTTTAGTTTATTATTTTACTCTTTCAATTTTGTAGAAAAGTTTTATTTGTATTTTTTTTTAAATAAATAATGTCTTTATTTCTTGCAAAATTAGTCAACATGGAAGTAATGTGTATATAGCACTATTTATGGATGGTCATGGCAGCCATCTTACATATATTCTTGCATCAGAGGCAAAGTTCAACAATGTAAGGTTTTATCTTACAATAACAATATTTTTCTAATTTAGTTTCATTTAAGCATATTGATAACTTTCTGCAAGTTAGATTGCACTCATTTGCCTTCACCTAAATATTAATCACTTTATACAATCTTTAGACATTGGTTTCTTTAAACCAATGATACAAATTTGGAGAGACATTTTGTGCAATTTCTTCCAGGAATCTTGCCCTATGTTGGTCGACAAAGCTTTTTTTTTCAAATTAACTGAGACTAACTTGAAAGTAAACAGAAAAAAAATTAGAATCTAGTTTTGGATCCTTAGATCTATATCCATTAGATCCATCAAGAGCTGGCAAAAAGTCCTGTTGACAGCGGAGAATACAAAAGAAAGCTGCTATTTTAAAAGTGTTGTTATAAACTCCTTTCAAAGACATTCAACATCTATAAACAATAAAAGAAAATGAAGAAAAAGAGTGCAAGGAAAATGTGACAAGGTTCTCACTTTAAAAATTGTCTGAATAAAAAATTACTCAAAAAAAGAATGGTGAACTTATAGTATATTTACGAAAAAAAAAAAATGAGGATTTGATGTATAATTTTATCTTTGTATATTTCTTTAAATATGCCTATTATTTGTTCATTGATATTAGGAATACATTTTAAAAAAGTAATACATTTTATCACGATTTAAATAAAAATGGTATTAACAAGCATTTTTTGTGCACAATGACTTTTATTCGGATGAACCCCTGTATGGGGCTATTCTAAACAAGGCATATTTTTGTATCAGGCTCTGCAAATGTTTTTGTTTTAAAATGCTATAAACATTTACTTGACATACAATGTAAAAAAAAAAAAAACTAGAAAAAAAAAAAAAATTACAAAACTTAAAACAATGTTCTAAAGAGTATTATATTAATTTCAGGATTATTATATTTCTATTTTGTATTCACTTTTAAAAAGTTTTTAGGAGTTAATTGTTTAGTTCTAACTTGTTAGTTTGAAACATAAAGTAAAGTCTAGCCACTTTTTTTTCTTGTTCTTTATTCTTTCTTTTTTCTTCAGTCTCTAAAGTCTACTTCAATTGCAGAAGAATGCTTATCTTTAAAGATTCATGAAATCTCATAAAATTTTTGAACAAGTTGAATATAGACTCATTTGTCATTAAAACATAAACTTTTTTGTTTTAACGACAAATGAGTCTATATTTGCTTTGTTCAAAAATTTTATAAAGGAGCACCAGTAGCTTCTCTTTTAATTTTATTACTGCATATGTTACAATTAGCAACTTCTGAATACCCATGGGAAACAATGAAATACTTTCAGACTCCTGAAATATCTTTTTTTTTCAATAGTTATATTTTTAATAATGTTGATTCTTAAATAAAAATTATTTTTCAAATCAACAAAGTTCATTAATATTTGTCAATATATCATTATTTAACATTCTTTAGAAAAAGATGCCACATTTAATTTCCTTTAACTCAATCCTCCATCATTATTTGTTTATCACCTTTAAAAATTAAAATCAAATCACAAGTAAATTCACAAAGATATTTTAAGATATTACAATTAGGACTAAAAATTATGCATTTATGAAAATTTTTTAATTAAAAAAAATCATGTCAACCATGTTGCTGTCAACCACAAAATGCTTTCAAAATAGAAAAAAAACTTTGTTTTACAATGATATACAATTTGTTTAGAACAATAATACTACCTAGTATACTATTATTGCTTTTATTATTACTATATTTATTTACAGGCAGTGTTCCGGCATGGTGCTAGAACTCCAACAACTGATTCAAATTATAAAGATATTCCTAACACAGAACCTTATTTTTGGGATAAATCTCATCTTATGACATTACCTCATGTTGATATTGAATACAAAGTCCAACTTCCTGATGGCAAATGCAGACCTATTTCTTTAATTGAAGAATTTTATAAAAAAACTGGTGCTCTAGAGGTACAAAAAATATATTTATAATTTATTATAAAATAACTTTTTATATAAATTAAAAAACATACATACATACATACATACATACATACATACATACATACATACATACATACATACATACATACATACATACATACATACATACATACATACATACATACATACATACACATACATACATACATAAATACATACATACATACATACATACATACATACATACATACATACATACATACATACATACATACATACATACATACATACATACATACATACATACATACATACATACATACATACATACATACATACATACATAAATACATACATACATACATAAATACATACATACATACATACATACATACATACATACATACATACATACATACATACATACATACATACATACATACATACAATTTTTAAACTTTAAAAAAGAAAAAAAATTTTAATAAAAAATAAAATAAAAAATAAAATGGAACTAAAGCTAAAGCAAATATATAGTGTTTTTTTTTATTAATTTAAAAATATCAGATTATTTACGCATAATATTACAATATATCAAATAATTACACATTAAAAAACCATTTCATTCTTTGTTTTAACATGACATTTGTTTTATTTGTTTTAAAAGATTTATATTTATTATAAAAAATACATAGTTATATAAATTAAAGAAAACCAACAGTTTATTAATATTTAAAGGGATCCCCAACTGCCGAGATAAGTTGTGTTCATATTAAAGAAAATGTTTAAAAAAAATATTTAGCTAAATTTTTTTTGAATAAAACTATATAATGAATGCACACCATTAAATTTAAAATTCATGTTTTAGTCGAAGCTCGCTGTATCCATTTTTTTTGGTTCTTGGAGTCTGTATAATGTTAACCGCAATCTGCAGACTTGATAATTTGTTCCATGCATGTTTATTTCATAACAGTTTCGGTATATGACGTTATCGTATAAATTTTTTTCTTTCGAGATGTCGTATTATTTTTTTGCCACATTCACCAAATCATTTTAATTGTATAGCTTTTTACTAAATCCCAAAAAAAAGTTTATGATGCAATTAAAAATTAAATTTATAAAATTTATAAAATTAAAAATTTAATATATAACAAATATTTACAGTAAAATGTACTGGTTTAAACTAAATATAAACTAGATACTAAAAGAATAATTTTACTAAAGCGTATAAATTAATTTAAAGTATTAACTGAATAAAAAACGAGTGATTGAATAAAACATAAACTGAACTAAGTAGAAAATAAATATTAATTGACTTATTTTACTAATAACCATATAGTTATAATATAAATATAAAAATAAAGAATTGCATTAAATTGTTTGCTACCAGCCGAACAAAAATCTTTTTGTAGCAACTGCACATTTTTTTGATTAACATTTGAATAGCATAACATCAATTATTTAAAATTCAATAATAATAAAGTTTTTAACACGCATCATTAAACAATAGGAAATGCAAAGTGCTTAAAAAGTTTTTATTAGTAGTAACTAAAACATTTAGTCTGAAACAAACCTCATTTAATGAATAAAAATATTTTTTTCTTCAAAATACTTTAATAATTACTTAACTAAATACTTAACACTTCTACAAGTTAAGTTTTACAGTGTTAACACTGTTTTATTTTATAACTAAATTTAAAGTTTTTTTATGAAGGATTATTCAAGATTTTTTAACTTTGTGATAATTACACAATATAGCTCTTATTTTTTCTTGATTATGTAGAGAATTAATTAAACCTTTAGAACAAACAAATTCAAAGCAAGATAAATTGTAAAGCATACTTGAAAGCCGCTACCAGTGGCTTGCGGTAGTGAAAGAGTTAAACCATAACTATATGTAAATTAAACATAAAACAAATATCTCTAAACCATATGAACTAAATTTAAAACGAGAAACCGTATCATATTGCCTTTATTTTTTCTCTGCCTGCAAGTTCTAATAATCACAAAATATGTATAATATGTCATGATTTTGGCTGGCTTCTAAAACAAAGTAATAATAAAGTAAGTAAAAAAAAAACTTATGAATATAAATATATACATATATATATATATATATATATATATATATATATATATATATATATATATATATATATATATATATATATATATATATATATATATATATTTGTATAATTTTTTACTAAATCACAAATATTTTTTTGTGATTTAGTTAAAAGTTATACAAATATTTGATTTTCTGATTGTATTAAAAAAAATACTTATATCTTTAAAATAACAAAAACAAAAAAGCGCTAGCTTACAAAAAAATATTGCAATGACGTCATATACCGAAGCTGTTATGAATTAAACATGCATGGAAAAAATTATCAAGTCTGCAGATTGCGGCTAACATTATACAGACCCTGAGAACCAAAAAAAAATAGAGAAGGCGAGCTTCGACTAAAACAATAATTTTAATTTTGTTGGTATGCATTCATTATTTAGTTTCAATCAATAAAATTTAGGCTAAATGTTTTTTTTAAACATTTTCTTTAATATGAACACAATTTCTCTTGGCAGTTGGGGATCCCTTTAAGTAATATTGTTTATCTGTGATTGATAAAAATCTTAATCCTAAAGAAAAAGAAAAAGTTCATTTCAGTATTAGTGAGACACAATTCAAGCTTAGATACACAAATCGCTTAAAATCATTTAATGTCCTGAAATACTGAAATGATACTGCGCTTTCTAAGGAGATTTGGAATTTTAAAGAAAAATACATAATATATGGAATAAAGTGAAAAATCATAAAATGCTGTAAAACTATCAACACAACATCCAAAATTTGTAACCTTCTTCCTCTGCCTCTGAGAATTTGAGAATTTTATATCACAATTTTATAATTTTATATCAATAAGAACTTTATAATTTTGTATCACAAAGAAAATAACCTGCTTGATAAAAAAGACAAAATATTATCTAAGTGTCGACATTCCAACAAATTTCTACTGTCCTCTTTTAATACTGGAGTCTGTCAGTATTAAAAGAGTGAAGTCAGTAGTCATTCTGCCGTAATTTTTAATTCATTTGTAAAAGAATTTTTTTAAAAGGTTTTTTATGTATTTAATAGCTGATGATTGCCGTGTATGGCATAAAATTTTAAGTACTATTTTTAATGTTGTTTTTCATTTAAACAAAATTTAAGTATTTATTGCTCTATTGTAATATTGAGCACTGTTTTATGTACAAGAGTTTTTGTATTATTTTGATACTAGCAGTGAGTAACCCGTAATACTAGTTATTAGTAATTAAATCATTAATAACAATAAAAACACATTAAGAACTTGATATATTATTTAAAAAAATAAAGTTAAATACAAATTTATCTATAAACAATATTTTAAGTTTGACTCTCTATCAGCAATGTCATTGCTTATAGTTAATGGCATAAAAATACTGCATTAACATCAGTTAAGTTCTTTTTAAAATCTGTTACAAAACAGCAGGTACCAGAAAAGGAAAGTCAAGTAAAGACTGCCAATGCCTAAATAAAAAAAATTAAAAAAATTACAGTTTTCAATTAGAAAAAATAAAATAATAAATAAATAAATAAAAAAATTAGAAAAGTATTATTTGCATTTTTTTAGTAGTAGAATTAGAATAATAATATAACAGAAAATATAAAGAACAAAAAAAATAGCTATAACACAAAATCTATCAACACAAAATACAGTAACAACAGCGCATAGCATAAGATATTTGTAAGCAAAAATTGCAGACATTACTATGTGTCTCTAGAATAATTCAAAAAAAGGCTAGACAACACAATGCAATAACACTGACAATTAACACCACAACTTAATAAGATTTTTTATTAACTAAAATAATTGAACTAAAAAGATTTTATTTGCTACAATATTTGAACAATCAAGGGACAATTATAGTTAAACAATTTGAACAATATCATAAAATAGCAAGCAACTCGTAAAATATTTCTTATACATGGTTATTATTAATTGTGGTATTAAAGAAATACATAAGAGCTCAGTAATTACATAAATTTTATTAATGCTCCCTGTACTAATTCTCATTTAACTTTTATCTAAGAGAGAGAGGGAGAGAAAGTATTTCCAAAGTAGCATGTTAAAGGGCTAAAAAAGACATGCAATAAACAATAGTAGTTGGTTTTATTATGTTACAAGTTAGTTACCAGTAAACAAAGTTATTTTCACCTTTATTATGTAAAGTTACAGCTTCTCTCTAACTGTTGACTAATGATTAATAGAGTAAATTATGTATATATATATATCTATATGTATATATATCAGGCCTTTGCATAAGAATCGTGTGGTCGCACACCTTATATGACCAATCATATAATACTTTCTTTTGACAACTTGGCCACGGCTTTTTGCAAGTTTTGACAATTAGTACTTTTTAAAAATGAATAAAACAAACCAAATGTAAATGTGATTCTTAATTTTATTGCTTCCATTATTGCAATTAAACTGCTACAAAATTTCCTAAAAACTTTATTGCAATGTAATAAGGCGATCATTAAGAGAAATATTCAGATTATAGCTTAAGGCAAAATGAGTAAATAAAAACAGTTTTATCATGGAAATATGATTTCCAATAAAAAAAAATTATTTACCTTACAAGACATAATAATTACAATAATCTTTAAAAAAATCCCATCTGTGAACTATTTTTTAACTATCCCAGGGCGCTACAAATCATTTTTTTTAATGAGCATTGACATATCTTTATTTATTGACTAACGTCTAATTTACACACAAATTAATGATAAATGCGCAATTAAAAAAAAAAAACTTTTAAAAGTGTTTTTAATACACAGACAAACATTACTTAACTTTAAGGAAAATAAGAAAATTAAAATTATTTTTAGCACGGTTTCCTTTTGAGGTAATTGCAAAATCATTAATTTTAAATAGAATTTTGCATGCTTTTGTAAGTGCATAAATAATACAAATAATAAGCACAAAAACCATGCTAAAACATTATTACTTTCTTCAATAGTGTTCTTAGTTATTTTACTTAAAAGTAACGCTATTTAAAAAAGTAATGTTTTTACATGGTTTTTTTTAAAAACCTCTGAAATTAATTGTTTTTTATTTTAAATATGTGTTTTTATAGTAAATAAAAAACTATCAATAGCAAAATTATTTGGAAAAAAATTGCTAAAGTAATGCGTTCGTTTTGAAAAATCTTAATCTAACCGCAATGTTTGCATTAGCAAAATTAAAGAAATGTGATGTTCATTTTTCGGTCTGTTTAACAAATGTGCGCGTTTGTTAAACAGACCGAATCGACGTTTGTCGATTTGTCTGTATCATATTAACTTTTAAATGAAATTTAAAATTTGCACCACAAAATTTTATCAAATTTCATGGCAATTTAACACAGCCTAAATTACTTACGTTTTAAAACATCATGCTGTGTTAAATATATCAGTTTCTCAAAAAGTAAATTAAAAAATCTTAAGATGAGAAGGTGCCCTATTCCTATATACCCTATTCGTCACTATGGATCTGCCTTGTATTAGCCTATTTATTAATGGGAGGGAACAATAAAGATTGATAGAGCTCTGTTTAATTTATATATATATATATATATATATATATATATATATATATATATATATATATATATATATATATATATATATATATATATATATATATACAACCCTCAGAATTAGGGTCAGCCTAACTGCCGACCTAAAAAATTTGAGGTCGGCAAATATTGCCGACCTCATTTCTATGTTTTATGGTAAGACCTTTGTATCAATTTTTTTTTGCCAACCTGATGCTGACCTCTAAAAGATTGAGGTCGACAAAACATTACCGACCTCATTTTTTCTAATTCAAAGATTGTATATATATATATATATATATATATATATATATATATATATATATATATATATATATATATATATATATATATATATATATATATATATATATATATATATATATATATATATATATATATATATATATATATATATATATATATATATATATATATATATATATATATATATATATATATATATATATATATATATAATATATATATATATATATATAAAATATATATATAGTTTGGTTTTCATGAACATTATAAATAACATAATGGTATGAGGATATATGGGTCAATACTTAATTGACCCTTATATCCTTATATTATTATGTTAATAAGTGTAACTTTTGTACTTATGCGTGCAGCTCTATTATGTTTTTTGAAGTCATCATTTAATCAATTGTTAGTTTTATGTTGCTTAGGCAAAAATATTTATAATAGATAACTTGCTTTTTTTAAAGTTAGATATTTTGAATCTTTAACTTATTTCCTTTTTTTATAAACAAGTATAGTAGGTATATTATTTTCTAACATTTAGGGTGGTTGTTTATCTGGTCAGCTAACAAAGGTTGGTCAACAAGATGCATATTTGTTAGGAAAGTGGCTAGAAGATGAATATATTAATAAGCATAAATTATTAGGAATGTACAGTACGAAAGACGTTTAGTAGGTATATTTATATTCAAAACTTTTGCTTGACGTTTTAGAGATATTAGTCTTTGAAGTTATAGAAATAATGTAATATACTCATATTTAACGAATATGCTCAAATTTAATGTAATACGGTCATAGCGGGAATTTATTCATGAACTTTCAGTATAACAGGCAAACACTCTAACCGATCAACCTATAGATATTGATGTTGATAGAAAATATATAATAAAATCAGCAACAAAATTAATAAGATGAAATAAAAAAAAGCAAAGACAAATATTTATATATATATATATATATATATATATATATATATATATATATATATATATATATATATATATATATATATATATATATATATATATATATATATATATATATATATATATATATATATTAGGGTGTCCCAGAAAAAAAATATTTTTTAATTTAACATTGTGCACTATGTAAATCCTCCTTATTTGGTCCCAGTAGACCACCATAAAAATATCTGGGCTCAAAGTCACTGTTTAGCTGAAGAAGGTGTTTTAGAAAAAAACACACTCAAGAGTTCTTAGGCAAGGCCAATATTTTGTTTCCTATACACAAGGAAGACATTTTCAAGTTAATTAGCCACAATCCTAGAAAAAGTAAGGAGGCTGTAAAAGAGGATTCTATTTTTTTGAAGAGATGTTTGAAAGGGGACATGGTCAAGATGTCAAAAATGACAAAACATTTGCTGAAATAGTTTCTGAAGGTGAGGAAAGGATGAAAAATCTGCTGATGAAGATGATAGAAGAAGAGCGACTGGAGGAGAGACTGAGAGCAAATGTTAAGAAAAAAAGAAAGCCAGTTACTGGAAAAAGCAACAGAAGAAGTTTTGAGAAATTTTGTACAGGAATTCTCCAGTGGATGTAGTGGAACAGATTATGATTCAGACTTTGAGTCTTCTACTGCAAAGAAAAAATAGCTGTATGATTCGACAAAGCTTTACCTTCAACTCAGTCTAAATGATGTTTTAGATAAGTGGATTCCATTTATGACAAGGTAAATAAGTTTATGGATAAAAAAGTAAAGTATATTACATATATATATATAAAACTTCAAGGTAAAACAACTTAAACTTTACATAATTTTGTTTTTTTTTAGATATCAAGTTAGCGTAAGAGCTGAAACAGCAATGTTGTCTTCACTATTCCAAGCTGGGGGAGTAGATATTGACATGTTAAACATTTTTAAGTCACAGATGGCAAGAAAAAACCATGAACTTATAGAGAAGCACTTATTGTAAGAGAGCAGAACCTGGATAAGATTAGGGGTTTAAAACTTGTTCTTCACTTTGACACAAAGTTGGTTAAACAAAATAGGACGGAGGTCAAGATTTCAGAAACAGTAGAAAGGTTGGCAATTAGTGTTTCGTCTCTAGAGTCGGGTTCACTTGACTTTCTTCTGGGAGTATTTGAAGTACCCTCCTCTAAAGGGAAAGATCAAGCACTGGCTATCCAAAGCCTTGTTGAATATTATGACTTAACAGACCAGATCATAGCTTGTTGTACTGACACAACTCGCTCGAACACTGGAAAGCGTAAATGGTGCAATTAGAAACATCGCTGTTTGTTTTCTACCTAGTCCAATTCTTTGGCTAATGTGCAGGTATGATGTTTTACTTTACAAAATCCAGGTGTTTTTTTTCTTTTTCTTTTTTCTGAGAGTAATGACAGAAAATGAGAATTTTAAATTTAGGAACCATATAATGGAAGGACATGTTCATCATGGTGGAACTACAGGGAGAAACAAGAGGACTCAATCGATCCTTATACAAGAAACATCAAGATCTTTGGCCTAAGATTGAAAAAGGTGTGAATACATTGGCCAACATTGAGAAACTTAGTTGGAACAGACCTGAGTTTGCTTTTGAAACCCTCTTTTACAATCTTGCAAATGAAACCATGGAGTTCTGCACAACATCTCTTAAAACAAATATTTTTGACAGAGGTGAATATAAGTATTTATGTCAACTGGTAGCTTTTTACCTCAGAGCAAATTTATTGAACTTCAGGTTTCTACAACCTGGTGCACATCGTGAAGCAAGATTTATGGCTGATTCAATGTATCTGTTAGCAATGCAAATGACTAAGAATTACAACAAGCAACTCAGTATCAATGAGATTAAAATGATACAAGATGCAACAGATTATAAAGTGATCTTTCACTGTTTATTCTTCCTGAAGAGCCCAATGGCAGCTCAGGCTCCAACCAATGACCTTAGAGCATTCAAGATTTCATCACAGATTATGATAGATCCACTTTTCTCCAAAAAGCACGGAAAGATTGGCAATGCTCTTAATCTTAGTATTGACAGACACACTTGGTATTTTACACCACAGTGTGTTATCTTTGCTTTAGCTGACCAGCGCTTAGAAGAGAAAGAGAGGATGGATATTCTTGTAGAATTGTTTAAATATGATGTTCCAGAGGTTCCAATTGGTTTGTAATTGTTATACTCAAGTTTTGAGTCTTTTTTATGAATTGGAATAACAGAATCAGTTTTTAAAATACCAGGGAATATACCGGTGATGAATGAAAGATTAAATAGTTCAAAAAGTACAAGAGAGATCTCATTTGCAAGAGCTTTAAAAAAAGGTATGGGAATGCTGTTAGGTTCTGAAGCCTTTCTATCATTAAGAGAATGATCATTTATAGATAATACTTTGTTTTTGTCTGTAGTTTTTATGAATATTAAATACTGAATTGATTACTATATGTGCTTTGATTCAAGTTCTTTAACAGATTTAAAAATGGTTAATGTACCAAAAACTATTAAACACAAAAAACTATCATCAAGCACTCCTGGGAAGCATGTGCAGTTGCACGTCTTGTTTGTCCACACCTAAAATAATTTTTTTAAACGACTTGACCACGTTTTTTTTTAGTAAGCATAAGAATTTGAAGCAAAGTAATGCTATAAGAAACTAGAGAGAATAAATCAGCAATACTTGAAGAAAAGAACCAAAGACTATACAAAATAGAAAGTCTAAATAATACAAACTAAAAAAAATTGAATATCAAAAAATAATACTAATAATACTAAAATTTAAATATAAAATATTTGGTTGTTTTCAATACCCCAATTGAAATAGTCTGCACTTTTATAGGATTATCCAAATTGTGCATTTAAACCGGATAGTTTATTTATTGATAAACTACTGTTATTGACGATGCTCCAAAAATTGTGGGCATAAAAAATTAAAAAGATTAAAGATTGTTAATTTATTGAAGTTTTCTAAACTAAATTTTTAGAAAATTATTCAAAACTTTTTTTTAAGTTTTAAAATACATTTTTATGAACAGAACAATCGTTATGTTCATTATCTCTAGTATTTCGTATTAACATTGGAAATCGGGCAATATAAAAGAAACATTTTCAGACTTGCATCAAATCTGGTAAATAAACTTATTTTTTTTTTTTTTTAATTATCTTCGCTTCCAACAAGGCTGCAAGCAACCACTAATTAGTGTTGGAAGTTACTGGAAGAGAAAAGATGAAGATTGTAGAGCAAGATAACGATTGATAGACGACTTAACTTATTAAAGAAACAATGTTATTCTTTTTATTTAACTCTGTTATGTCAAAATTTATTAATTGAATAATATATTTTACAAATAAATAACAATTTATTTTCTTATTTTCCTACAATATAAGTAATGAGAAAAAAACGTCAAACATAGCAAAAACGTTTTTAAAAGTGAAAAGATATATGAGATGAATAAACATAAGAAAAATGAAAAAAGTTTCTCATAGTTCTAGTGTACATAGCAAATTACTTTATTTATATAGACTGATAAAAGTCGTGAATAGGTTGCATATCAAAATTTATATAGACTGATAAAAGTCGTGAATAGGTTGCATATCAAAATTTTTAATTGTTGTTAAATCCTTATAAAAAATGTTTTTTTCAACAACGACTCAAAAAAAAAAAAAAAAGAATAAAAAAGTTGTATACTTTTTTTGATTATTAAATTTTCTAGTTTATTTAATTAAGTTTCATATTTTTTTACAATTTTGTTTCCTTTTTTTAGATCTTTGTAGATAAGTTTAGCTTTTTGCCACAAATTATTGAAATGCTTTATAAGTTAAAAGTTTGTCTGAAAAAATTAATTTATAAACATATCAAGTGGCGATCGATCACTTCCCGGAAAGGCTTGATCGTCATCACCAAGTTTTCTAAATCTATCATTCACTAATATTCATGGTCTTTGAAGCAACTTTTCTTCTGTTGAGTCTTATCTCTTATCACTCTATTGCCGTTCTCTTTGTTCAATATCACCATCCTTCATCTAAAGACTGCACTCTTTTGAATTTTATTTCTGATCAAGTTGACTAAGCCCTTTTTTTTCGTCCTTCAGTCAATATCGTTGTTTTGACTTTATTGGTCATCACATTCATAACTCTTCAGGCTTTTAGGCCCACAATTTTTGCCACAACAAAAACTAAGCTCTCGTGATTTCTGGAGAATCTTTAACAGTATCTATAGTAAGAGCAAATCTGTTATTCCACCTCTCATGTATAGTTCAGATTTTGTGACCTCACCTAAAGACAGAGTTGAATTGTTTGCTAAGAATTTTTTAATATCATCAATATCATCTCTTGATTCCACTAGTTGTGTTCTATCTGATATAGCAGACAAACAGGTAAATCTAATGCCTGACCTTCATATCACTCCAGCTTCTGTATCTAAAATGATTTCCTGCTTAGACTATTCTACAGCTTGTGGTCTGAACAACATACCTCTTATAGTTGTTAAAATTATTTTATGGCAAACTTACAAGTTTTATCTAAGTTTTGTTTAGTTTACTTGTAAAGTTTAGTAAACTATATATATTTTAAGATAATTAAAATAAAATAAATACAAAATTTTCATCATTTTTGATTTTTATAATTTTAAAATTATTTTATATATTCTTCTTAACAAATGAAAAATCATACCAAGTTGTATTGCCAATATTTTATTAATGTTAATTTTTTTTGATCCTATTCCTCGCATCAGCTGGGAGTGAAAAAAGATTTTTCCCTACCATTTTCCATACCCATTTGACACACACACACACACACACACACACACACACACACACACACACACACACACACACACACACACACACACACACACTATATATATATATATATATATATATATATATATATATATATATATATATATATATTATACTTAGAACATAATAAGATGAACGTGAACCTTAAAGCAAAAATGTAAAACTTTAAATTTAAAATTTTGATATATTATTTCGGGTTATTATTTTATTACTATTTTTATGTTGTTTTTTTTTTTATTTATTTCTACTTTAAGAATAGTATAGTATTACCATCACACAGTAAACTTGCTGCTATTTAAGCTGGTTAAAAGGTATGTCTACTGTGTGGTGTAAAGATTATAAACACACCAAGGACGCTAACTATTAATCATTATAATTTAGTCCAGTCTTTACAATCTGCAAGCAGTCTTAAGTAATCTGCTGAAGTCTAATATAAGAACTGTTGCAAATCGCATTAGATGCTATATAGGAATTGCATTAAATGCTATGTATACGGATTTCTTCTCTTTCAAAGTTGCACATGGCAACATCATGCAATGATTTCGACGCATAGTATGAGATTATAAGGAAAAATATGTTTGACACTAAACAATGCTCAAATATAATAATATAATATGTGTAAAAAAAGCTAATGTTAATGGAACAAAATGAGATTTATTATGTTCTAATGTTAGACATTATAAATAATTTAATTAAACTAGTTTTTATTTTGATTAGTATCATGAATTTAAAATGTCATTATTTGAAATTAAAGTATATACACAGGCCTCAGCGGGAACAAATGAGCACGAGAGCTGAGAAAAGCTCTCCTAAAACGAATTTGGGGAGCTGTGCGAGCTGCTCCTCATTTAAATTAGCACTCTTTTGTAATTTTAATTTTTTTTTTGCAACAACGATGCCTTTTAAAAAGTATTTGCAGTATATTATTTAATTTTTTTTTTTTTTTAATGACATTTTGGTTTTTATTTTAGTTATATCGATAATTATACCTTCATGAGAAAAATTATACTTTTGCGAGAGCCGTAAATTGCTCTTGTAAACTGTTTTAGGGGAGTGTGGGCATAAGCGAGAGCTAAAGCTCTCGCTTCCCGCCGAGGCCTGATATACACATACATTAATACACAGGAAATAACAAAAATCTTCCCCTTTGTTTTTAAGGAATCTTCTTGATTACCAAAGGTGTGCAGCAGTTTCCCTTGATAATTCCCTGATTTTTATCTGTTATAGTTTTAAACTTCCAGAAGGCCCAGGGAATAGGATCAGAAAAGATTTTTGATGGAGGGTTTATAACACCTGCTTGGTTTTCAGGAAGGGTATGATTATCATTATTATATTTCATCGTTACCAATGATTTATTTAATTGTTATGAATGTTTTATTCTATTTTTACCATTGTTTTATACCAATGTTACTATTATTTTATTTCATTGTAACCATTATTTTACAGACATTTAAAAAAAAATTATAGTGTTAGAAGTTCAAACATTGATCGCACAATATTGTCAGCAAAGTGTGTCTTGGCTGGATTATTTTCTAAAGATGGTTTTAAAGGTTTTTATTTTTTCTTTTATATAAATATATATATATATATATACATATATACATATATACATATATACATATATATATATATATATATATATATATATATATATATATATATATATATATATATATATATATATATATATATATATATATATATATATATATATATATATATATATATATATATATATATATATATATATATATATATATATATATATATATATATATATATATGTTTCACATATTTATTAAAAAAATTTTAAATTATAAGTATATATATAGTTTAAAAATTTTATCCTAAAAATATTTTGTGTGTTATAAACACATAAAATATTTTATAACATATACATATATATATATATATATATATATATATATATATATATATATATATATATATATATATATATATATATATATATATATATGTATATATATTTATTTATTTACTTATTTATTTATTTATTTAGAGGTACCTATTATAATAACAAGTGAACATGATGATGAGATTCTATATCCAAATTACTCAGTCTGTGATTCGCTTAAAAAATGGTATACTTATATTCGAAGCAATGTAAATATTGTGCTCGACCATTCAAAAGATTATGAGCATATTAGTAGTGTTTTGGGTGGAATGAATAAAACAATGAGTTTTTTAGCTTTATATGATTTTATTGTCACTAGAAAGGTTATTTTTATTTTTAAAATTGTTACACTCCGTTGTTCTATTAATTTATTCATGTTTGTTAAATTCTAAATAAATAAAAATCTTTTTTAAATATTTAATTTTTAAAATGAATCTAATTTTAAATATATTCATTACATTCTGTTGTTCTATTAATTTTTTCATACATTAATTAAATTGTCAAAAAATTTGACAATTTAATTTATCGCTATTTTTTCAATTGAAGAATATCCTACTAAAAACTTATGATAAACTCCATAATAATAATGATGATGATAATGATGATGATGATGATGATGACAACAATGATAAAAAAAACAAAAACAACAACAATGATGACAACCTAATGCCTAGGTCATACCAAATAAAAATTAGCACAACTTTTTTTTTAAACTTAAAAATTGTATAAAAATTTTAAGCATTTTATTAAATAAAAGTTTGTTTACAAACTCATTTAACTCTGTATTTGAGTATTTTGTTAATACTTTTATTTGTCATTATAGGTAGTAGGTTAAATTAGACAATATCTAATTTCTTAACAATAATATATGGTTAGTTGGCTAATATAATTAGCAGTAGCCATCCATGTAAACTCCCCACCCAAGCATCTCCTTGAAATTTCCTCAACTTATGTTTGGTCTTGTAGTAATGTTGTCTAGTTGTAATGCTTGAAATCATCAGGTGTTGTTTGTAATAATGCTTGAAATCACCAGGTGTTAAAGTTCATTTATGTAATATGATCCATTACCAGTTTGGAGTGAATTGCTTGATTTAAAAATGCTTTTGTCATTAACAGTAAAATTGGAATCTGTTTTGATGAGTTACAAGTTAAGAGTTACCACTGTTTTGATGGTAAAAAGCTGTACAACCGTTTTATTTGGTCTTTCTTAGTTTATAGCATAAAATCTTTTCTCATAAAGTCTCTAAATGGTTTTGTGACTACAATCAAACTTTTTTCAGCAAATTTTTTTACTTTTTAATTTTTCTATTCTTTCTTTATTTTTACAGTTTTCTTGACTCTCAGGATCGAATATTCTAATAAACAGTTGATCTGGAGCATCCTTTGACCAAGTGATTTCCCAAAAATGATTTGCCTTTGTTGATACTCTTATCATAAAATCTGTTTTTAGTTGATTTTAAATTTCAATTAGTTTTATTATACCATATGGTTATCCTACTTAACTGTTTGTTTTTACTGTTAGTCTTTACTGTTGTTTTACTGTCAATCTTTATTGATGTTTATTATTTTATTACTTATGTTAATTACTGTTACTTTAATTTTAATAATCTTTTCTTTTTTTTTTTTTTGTTTAAATTTTATTTTAACTTTTGTTATTAATCATAATTTTATAAAAAATTCGTTTATTTTTTTGTTTATTGATCATTTAAAGTGTACTTTTTGAAATGTTTGGTTTGTTTAAATTACTTTGACTTGGATGAATATAGCTATTAACAAAAAAGAAGGTGGTGCTATAAGTATTTTTTATATGGTTCAGGGTGTATGATTTATGTGGTATAAGGTGTATAATTTTTGTGGTGTTAAGTGTACTGCTTCTGTGGTGTATGATGTATGATTTATGTAGTTTAAGGTACATTGTTTGCAGGGTGTAACTATGGTGATGCATAATTTATATAGCATAAGATATATTGCTTATATTGTGTAAGGTATGTAGTTTAAGTAGATTTTATGGCATATGATTTATCTCTATCAGGTTGTCATTTTTTTTTTCTTTTTAAGTTTACTTTTTTACAAGTCTCTCAATAAATAATTTCATTAACATTTTTTTAATTTTAAAAAATTCTACAAAAAATAAAAAATTACAAAAACATACCAAAAATTTAAAAAATAATTCATATAAGATCCATAAAAATAAAAAATATGACAACTGCTCTATACAAAAATTACTTTAATTTATATTATAGATCAAGAGACTTTTAAATATATAATAATAAATAAATTGTATAAAATAATTAATAATTTTTTAAATTTTGAAATTAGATTCTTATATTATTTTAAGGCTCATGGAGGATTTGTTCCAGTTCATTTGATGCAAGAAGAGTTTTTGATATCAAAAAGGGCAGCAGAACTTCAGGCATACATTATTACTGGTGATGATAGGTATTTTTTTTAAACATTTAACATTACTATATATATAAGTCAGACGTGTTGAGGTGTTGAATATTAAATTTTTTGAGTTTCTTAATGATTTATTAGAAGCTCAACTGCAATAATAATAAAGTTATGTTGGCTTTGCTATGTAGGATATATCATTATAGAAACTTATATAAACCTATATTTTTTTAATTTAGACTTTTAGGTTTGAGAAGAAGCATTGGCGCATTTATCAATGTATTATGTTCAAATATCACAGATTCAAACAAGTTTGTTCTATAATATGTTGTGCGTATATATATATATATATATATATATATATATATATATATATATATATATATATATATATATATATATATATATATATATATGTATATATATTTATATATTTATATATATATATATATATATATATATATATATATATATATAATATATATATATATATCTGTGTATGTATTGTATTATATTAATAATTTACTTTCTTTTGTTTTAGAAAAGAAAAGATGTATCTTTACTCTGCACATGATACAACAATAATTGCTTTATTGATGGTTTTAGATTTGTGGGATGAGAAATGGCCAGCATTTTCCTCAAGCATTATCTTTGAATTGTATACTAATCAGGTTTTTAGATGAAACTTTTGATTTTTTGTAAAACTTTCACGTAAAAAATAATACTGTAGTATTCCACTGTAATTTAATTTTTTTATTATTAATTTTGTGAAGGGGAGAATATTAGGGAATTGGGAGATAGATATCGAAATCGGGATTTGGTAACAATATTAGTAGTAATTATTGATTGAGACTTGTGAGCATATCTATTAACAAATGATCAAAAGTTAGACTCCAATATGATGATGAGGACATTTTCTGAAAAGGAAGTCTAGGGCTCGTCATTATGTTCAGTAATCAGTATGTTTATATCAATACAAAACATTTTTTATAGTTAGGAAGTAGTTAGGATATAACTTAAATAATACATTTTTTATACCATTTTTTACTTTCATATAATTTATTTTTGATATTACAAGCGGCTTGTCAAATGTTGAACGAAATGTTGATTTAGTATAATCGTAATGTGTGATGTACATGACATGACAAAATTTGGTGATAATGATAATGATGAAAATGACAATTTTTAGTATTGTTGATTGATGATGACGAAAAAATACTCAGAGGTATCTAAAAAATAAATTTTTAGATGCCTATGAGCATTGCACTTGAAATCAAAAAATTAATAAATGATAATCGTTTTTTAAAAAAGAGATGTTTTTTTAATTATAATATTTTTTTTATAATCATATCAGATAATGATGGAAGTGTATAGCCAGGTATTTACCCTACAAGTGATGAGAAGGCAACTAACACTTTTTAACATTGCTCACCATTAACATTAGAAAGCGCGAATGTTATACTGTTATAGTGATCGTAGTCTGTGAAACATTGTAGTTATAGTTTTTTCCCAACTAATGTAAACTTAAGGAACTAAATTTTTAGTTCTTGAAAGTATATAACTTAAAGTTACTATGTTTATATATATATAATTTAATATATAATTATGGTAACTTATATATATACTCATTTATTTTAATTTTTAATAAGTAAATATAAGAATAATGAATAATAATATAAATAAATGATATAGATATAGATAGATAAATGAAATAGAAATAGAAATATAATATAAATGAAATGAAATAGAAATAGAATTTTATAGCCACAAAATAAGTTTTTAATATATTTTAACAATTATCTCTGACTATAAATTGTTTCTCTGTTTTTGCAGATTAACAAAAGTTATGTACATACCTTATTTATATGCATACAAACATAATTATTTCAAGACAATTGAATTAGATTGCAGTGATGGACTTTAGTTTAAAATGACTTATTTAAAAAAATCTAATTTAGGTTGGTAACAAATTTGTAAGAGTCTTATATAATGGGACAGCCGTGAACTTAAAAATTGATGGACACACTGAATATTATCCTTTAAATAAGTAAGTGAATAGCTAATACTTGCATACCTTTTTCTATTTAATTTAGTTTTTGTCTATTTAATCCTAATTAAAGGTGTGTTTAATAGAAAGATATAATTTAATATATTTTAAATTGCAAAACACAAAAGAAGTTTAAATTTCACTCTGTTTTAAAATTGAATCACTTATTTGAAAAAAGCCATTTTGTGTACTATTTGCGCTTCTAGGCATAGTCATAAGAAATTAATAGTCTGGTCACTCGGGCTGTATTAAGTGATTTTTCTAATATACATTAAAAACACTTGTAAACTGTCTAACTACCAGAAACAGAGTGCACAAAGTATGGAAACGGATAAAGAGTTCAATGGTGAATTTGATATTGAAACATTATTTTTTTCTTTGGAGAATAATTTTCTTTTTGCAGACAAAAATTTTAACAAAGATTTAGACGCATTGGTGTTAGAGTTATCTAGTGAACCTGTTAAAAGCAAATTTTTTTGCACAATTTGCTCTAAAAGTGCATATCTCAAAGAGGCCTTACAAGGCGTACAAATTCAAAACGTCAAAGTATTCCTTTGGATTTAACATTACAAAATCCTAAATCATGTGCTCTTCTCAGCAAATTTAAAAGTCTGCTCGATAAAAACATTACTACCTTGATCGACGACGAATGTTATTGTGATTTGTATAGAAATGAGTTAAGAATTAATCATGCAATTCTATCAGAAAATTCACAACTAAACCCTATCTCTATTAGAAGCAACAATAGCTAGTTTTAAAGATAATGGCAATGCAGAAAAGTTTTATCCTGAATCTTACAAAGATATTAATTGCGATAGAGGAGTTTTCATTAACAGTCTGACTAAAAAACAACTAGACTTTTTGGCTATGAACTATGCAATCATGTTTTAACATTTCTTACAAACCCATTTTACAATAATTCTTTTGTAAATTTAAATGATTTGTCGTCAGTTAAACTTTCAGATAGAGATAAAGAAATTATCTTGTATCTAAGTGGTTATGTATTCAGTACATTTTATTGCAGAGTTCGCAGTTCGTAGGTATGGCAGCACAAGTTAAGCACAGACTGCCTTTCACTTCTTAATGCTGGTAAAATAGAACATTTTTTTAAGAATATTGAAACATCCACTGAGTCTTATCAAAAATTTGTAAATGCTTAAAATCGAGGTGGTTTATGGAAAGTGTCTCCTCCAGTTTTAGAAATCTTTTTCAAAAGTTGAGCTTCTCTTTCGCCATCAAAGTAATGGTTTTGTAAAAAAAATTGATTCTGAACTGATTGTAGCAGAAATTTTAAAAGACAGTGTTGTCATGGCAAGCATATCTGAACTTCGCTGTCTTTGTATAAATCAAGTATCCAAAGAACTGTCGTTAAACTTGTTTTATCATCTGGTTACACTTTATGTTAGAGTGAGATCTTTTATATGCGAAAGAAAAATTAGGTATCCACAAACTTAAAGAGAATCAAACAAAGTCAAAATCAATCTGTTCAAAAATGAAAAAAACATCAATTGGATTCGAATAAATAGTTTAATGTAATATCGCATCCAAAAACAGCTATTTTTATAGCCACAAATTTCACAAAAAAACTTGGCGTAGAAACTCTGTTATTTATTTGTCATAAAAAATATTAATTTAAAAAAATGTTTCGATTTGTTTGTGTCAATAAGTCAAGGTAAGACCCCTAAGACTTTAACTCCAAAGGACTCTTATCAAAATGTAGTACAAAATTATAATATACACACAATAGTTTTAAATTTGTAATAAACAAATATTTTCACTTTCTGCTCTGACTTACTTTTATAGAGAGAGAGAGAGAGAGAGAGAGAGAGAGAGAGAGTGTTGTTTCATTAACATTAGAACTGGGTATTTTTATTGTGATACTACCACTAGAAAATTTGCCATTCATTGTTAAGGAGCTCCTACCTTGATCAGGTCACCCTTCTATAAATTATAGGTATTTTGAAAAAAATGGCCCTAAACTGTTAACTACACCTGCCCAAAATGTGGGAGCAGCAAGTTGATAAAATTATTTTTATACTATTCTTAACTAAATCTATATTCGTCGATGAATTTTAAAATTCAAACAAAAATATTTTAGTATTCAAAAATTATGACCATAAAAAGTTTGAATCCCCCTCAATTTGAGGGAGTTGCAAATTTTATAAGGCCATAATTGTTGAAGGCTAAGAGATTATTGTATGAGTTCTAAAATTTATCGAAGAATATAAACTAGAATAGTAAAAAAAGTATTTTATTAACTTGTTGTTCTCACGTTTGGGGCAGGTGTAGCTAAGATTTTAGGGCTTTTTTATTCCCAGTCTCCAATCATTGTAAATTTTTGCAAAGCATCCTTATTTGATATAAATATAAATTTTGTGGAGTTTGTTCCATGTCTGGAAATAAGCTCAAACATCAAAAAAATGCTGCATCCGCGCCTGTATATTTATATATATATATATATATATATATATATATATATATATATATATATATATATATCACATGCTTAATACATGTGAAGATTGTTTAATATTTATTTTGAAATGTTACCTCAAACTCATGAAAATTAAAACTTTCAATGAAATTATGACTAAAAGGAACAAAACCAGGAAACAAAAATTCAAAAAACTATTTAGAATTTGTATTAAAAAAAATTTTATATATGAAGAAAAATAGTCCTCTCTTGTATTCATTTGAGATTATATATATATATATAGGACCGCTCTGAGTTCGATTGGGTCAAGATTAAATTATGATACCATACACTAAAGTGAATAGGTGTCAAATAAAGGTTTTTGATTTCTTACTTTACAGATAATGTAAATATGCGAAGAGCAGGCATTGAACTAATGATCTATTGCTTCTAATGCAATTGATCTAACCACTACAAATATAAAGGCACCCCCATGCACCCAATAAGAAGTAGGGACAGCAAATTTAAGGAGCTTTTTTTAAATTTTAGAGGTCCTTAAACCAAATTTGAGGAACTAATAATCTAATACCTAATAATGAAATGTTATTTAAAATTATGGTGTCCTAATGACAAGTTTTAAAAATATATTTTTTATATATCCAGTGGTATCTATGAAAAATAGATGAGCTTGAAGAAAGTCACCCAGTTTCATACCTGATTACACGCTGGTCCCATATACAATTTCATTGTTATCAGAGGTTATATAAAAAATCCTAATCTTTAAATAATATCGTTATTAGAGGTTCTATAAAAAGCATCTTAAGCGCTTGTTTACATTGTAACAAAAGTAAAACAAACAAAAAAATAAGACTGCAAAACAAACTTTTAACAATGAATTTCTCAATTAACTGATCAATATTTTATGGCATTTAATGTTTTTAAAAAGATTTGTGGCTATAAAAATAGCCGTTTTTATACAAAATCATTTGTTTTCAACAGTACAAGGAGACATAAGAGAGTTTTTTATTAAAACACTAGAAAAGTCAACTTTTTTTATCAACAGATTTTTCAAAGTTCATTTTTTGCGTGGTATACGTGTCATACTCTCTTTCATTGACATTTTGTTTGATTTATTAATATTCAGACAGTTACCTGCAATTGGGTGAAATATATGTTGATTTCGAATAGTATTATCATTGAATCTAAAATCAAATACGAAAGGATTATCTTTTCTTCTACCAATTGACCGTTGTTGTCCAAAGTACTTTTCTAAAGGATCCTGACCTTTCAGTTAATACATAACTTACATTGTTATTAATTAAAAAATTGACAAGTTCAATACCAGAATTAACTGTGATCGTTATACCTTCATGGGTTTGCCAAGCAATAAACATTACTTCTATTACTTTTTGAAAAATTTCCAGGTCTTGATTCAATAGAAAAAAGCCAATTAGTGAGGTATTTAAAAAAAATTTCTTTTAGCCATGTAAATCGAATATCATTAGTATCAGAAAATGGTTTCAAAAATGAGTTGCGTTTTAATATGCAATCATTTGTATTACAAACATTTAAGCAATCAAAAAAGTCATTAAAATATTTGCAAAACTGTGCAGTTTCAGCAGTATCAGATGGTGCATAGATTTCTAATGCAGTACTACATGAGTTACTTGAAACTTGTGCAGCTAAACGAACATTCATAATTGAAAATGGAGTTATTTTGATGTGCTCAACGGTTAGCTTTGGACATGCGTGCAATTGACATTTTAAATCTTCATAAAACAAATTAGTTATATGAGACCATAAAATATGTTGACCCTGATTCCGCATATAACGATTGCTTTTATTAGCTCCAGAATGAGAAAGGCTGTTCCTTGCTGTTTTAATTAATTGAAGGACATCAGAAATAAAATATATAAACCTTTTATCATCATCATCAGCAAATAAATTATCAGTGCGGTAAGTCACATCAACATGATCATTATCTTCTTTCTCAGTCAGATTAAAATGCATTTTAAATCATCACAAGTAACTGCTACTACTTTTAAACCTACTGAAATTTCTAAAATGCCTACATCTTTCCAAAATAGAGAAAATAATTGCACTGATGTAATATTAATAGTGGCAAAGTTTGCAAAACTGTATTTGAAAAGATTTACAATACTTCTTATTAAGAAAACTAATACATGAGAAGCAAGTTTGTCAGCCTGTTGTAATGTTGCAAAATCAACATAACCAATTAACAACAAAATTAACAACAGGATCGCCCAAATCAACATAACCAAAAGATGCAATAATTCTCCAGAATGTTTGTCCCAAACAAGATTTTTCTTGAATTTTTCAATTTTCATTTCATCAAGAACTAGGACAACAAACTTTTCTTGAGCTGAAAAATGTTCAACTTTATCTTTTAATTCTTTGATTATATTTTTATTAAATTCTAATTTTGGCTTCACATAGTTTTTATAGTCACGCAATCGCCTATGACTTGGTAAAACTGAGAAACCAGAATTATTTTTCTTATTTAATCGTACTGCTTCATAAGCAACTGATGATTTTGCAGCTAATCCCAAAGAGAAACGTATTATTGCTGGATGATAGCGAATCCCTTGCTTTGAGCTTTTTAAATATTTTTGCTGCTCTTCCCAAAACAGGCTCATAAATGGAGAAATCTTGCTTTTATCAGCTCCTGTCATTATTTGAACTAAATCACTTTCAATACTTTTATTTATAGATAGAGATGAACTTCAATCTCCTGCTTCATCAAAGCTAATTCCTTTTTTAATTTTTTATTTTCCAGACCAACACTCTGTAATATAAGCTTCAGACGATCTGGAGAACTTAGCAGGGATACAAGCATTCGCAAGATTTTTTTTCAAACTTATGATTCCTTTTTTTTTCAATGCTTTTGCATTGAGAACAGCATAACACTAACTCAATAAGCATAATACATGGCTCAGATTGAAAATACTCTGTTTGCTTTAAAGGAAACTTATTATTAGATTAAAATAAATCAAACTTTTTTGAAATACAATGTTTAATATGCAGATTTGACTTTAATGCGAATACATTAGTTATTCCAGAACACAGGCTAAACGAAGTAACAACAGAAATAAGATTTGAAGCTGAAATATGTCGCATTGATCTTTTATATTTTGTATATATTAAATGATCATCTGGAATAAGCCAAGAATATACACGAATAGTAAAAGCAAGACTATCATCAACATATATTTCATATTGAGGACATAAGTGGATTGTGTCATAAAGTTTCAATTCTGCCACAACAGGACTCACACTCACTGTCCAGTCACAAATCTTTAACTTGCTAATACAATTTAGGAACTCTTTGTATGATTTATATATAGGTTTAAAAGTAATAATACTATTTGAAATCAATGAGGCATTTCTTTTAACAACGATTGCAGATGCAGATCCCCTTTGTAAAGGTATTGATGACATAAAACTTTTTTTTGGTAGACACATAGTCGGTAATGATTCAGGTTGAAGTATCATTTCTGCAAGATAACGCTTTTCACAAATAAACAAGCCCTTACTTTCTATTTGAGTCTTCATAATAATATCTTGAATACGATCTTTAAGAATAATGGCTATTAGATTTTTTTTGCAAGAAGTATTAAAACTATCGTTAGATGCAGGAATTTTAAATATTGATACTCCCTTATGCCTCCTAACAGTACTGCATCCATAAATAGAACAATTAGCACCAGGCATTTAAAAAATTGGATGAAGAAGATGCAATTAAAACAAACAGTTCATAGAAAAACAATCGAAGAAAATAAATTTTGTGCACTCAGACTGGCGGACTGGACACTAAAAAATTGCTAACAAAGAGTTGATCAAAGGAATACCGCAAGTGGCCAGGCTATCTATATCTTATGACTATGTTCTGAGTTATAAACTGAGTATTGTTCAGTGTAGATAAACTTATGCAAAAACTTATGTAAAAGACCACTAGTACCGTTATCTATATGGAACCTTTCTTTGATTTTGTTAAAAAAAAAATTTTGTTAGCATAAAAGTGGCTGAAATAATCAGTTTTTATCCATCTCAAAACAATGTTTTGTGGACTTTCAAATAAGTGATTCGGTTTTTTTTTTTTTTTTTTTTTTTTTTTTTGCCAAAGCAGATTTTTTTTATATGTAGATGCTACCAGGCAACACCCTGTACCCTCAGCATACTTTTTAATTCATATAACGCGACTATTATAGTCTCTTATGTTTTCATTTTTTTCATTTTTACATTTTTTAATGTATATATAATAGGTTTTTAATATTGCTTGAGAATTTTCGAGTTGAAGATTGGCGTAAAGAATGTGGCAAGCAAACTCATTGAAACTGTTTTTAAATTTATTTATCCCTGATTAGTTAAATTTAAAACGCTTTTTTAAAGATTTTTTAACTTTTGCTTTTTATTATATTATTAGCGCTTAAATGTTTTATAATCTTTTTGGCATTTTTGTATCAAAATTAGACCTCATGCTTATGAATATATTTTCTAAAAACTAATTTAATATAACCTTTTTTGTTTGGATAAACAAGTTCAGCTATCTATAGTAAATCACAAAGAAGAAAAATACGCAAAAATTATCTAGCTATCCAATATAAATATGATTTAAATGTTGTTTTTATTTTGTTGTTGTTGTCTTTTTATTACGAGATGAAACTTAATTTTCATTACCAACAAATGACGTCCATGTCCGTAAGTAGGTTTTTATTATTAAACTTCTAAACTGCCCGTAAGTAGGTTTTTTATTATTAAACTTTTAAACTTTTGAACAAGGAATTGATTGTAATCAATTTTCATATCTTTTTTTGACCCTCTCTTTCCTCCCGGGAAAGAGTATTTTTTCTCGGTCGTTTATTTTATGTTGTTCATAAAGAATTAAAATTTTAAATATATATATATATATATATATATATATATATATATATACATACATACATACATACATACATACATACATACATACATACATACATACATACATACATACATACATACATACATATATACATATATATATATATATATATATATATATATATATATATATATATATATAGGGGCGGACCCAGGAAATTATTTGGGTACATCCGACTTTTTGGAAAAATCTTTAACCCCCTACCCAGGGTCTTCCCGAAGAATGGGGGGTATCGTGGTGTCCCTCACCCCCTCCCCTTAAAGATATCTTACAAGCATTTGAGTTAGCACATGGAGCAAGCTTTGAACTATAGTTGGCATATTGGAAAATTGAGGACCTTTTTTTTTTTTTTTTTTTTTGGTGTCTCTAGTCGTTAGTTGAAAAGCAAAAAAAATACATGGAAGGCCATCTTCAGTTAATCTATCAAGATTAACCGATTAACCGAGGTCTATTACTAAAAGAGGTCTATTAAGTTAAGGGGCTACCCCCTCTGTTTTTAAATCTAAGTATTAAAAAAAAAAATGTTATGGGTTTCTAGGTTTTAGTAAAATATAAACCTTTTTAAAAAAAAAATTGGTGGTTTCCTTGGTAACCAAAAAATACCCCTAAAATGACCAAAAAATAACTTTACGCTGGCCAAAATATAAGAATATGTGTACATATTTACCTTTTAAAATTTTTATACAATATTATCATAAAGTAGGGCTGTGAAATGAATGGATCAGATTTTTCATAACATTTTGCCATCATCAAAATGGCGCAATCAAAGATCATGGTCAAAATTTTCATCGATTTTAGGTCATATATATATATTTTTAATAAAATAAATAAATTCCATTCCATTCATTTCACAGAGTTTAATATGATAAACACTTCCTGAAAATTTCATACAAAAATGTAATGCGGTTCTCCAGATAATTTGGCCGGCGTGCACAAATTTCTACTTTGAGAAAAAGACGATTTAAGTCAAAAATTTTGAAAACAATACAATTTTTTTCATAAAAACTGTTGAAAAATAAACAAAGTTTTTAAAATCCACCAGGAACATACAAGTCACCTTCTTTTTCAATTATTTTCTCATTCTTCTTCAGTTTATTGGCACGTAATACTTGCCTTCTTAACTTTTTTAACAGGGTTCATTCTAATTTCTGCTTTTTGGAATCTTTCATTATTTAATGATTTGCATCCTGCAATCATATGAAAGCCATGTCCAGTTGCTTCAAAATATCAAAGTTCAATGTCCAGTTGCTTCAAAATATCAATAGATGCTTTTGCTTCAATATTAAAATTGGCAACAGCATCATATACATCAATTTCTAATTGCGTAAGTGATACAAATGTTTGTTTTGGTATACGCTTCCAAATCATTCCATTAAAAGATTTATTGGCATTTTGTGTCTTACCGTGCAAACATTTTTGTAACTCAATGTCTTTACTTAAATCCTTAAATATAGGTCTTACTTTCATTATGACATCTATTGGTAAACCCGGCCCTGGCTTATAGGTTGGTGTCTTATTTATTTTATCGGCATTGTATTTGCACCAGCTGTCTGCAGTGTGGGAAATGTAAGCTATTATTTTTTGAGGAAGCAACATGAAATAGTGATGCCAACACCAGTTGGATCAGATTTTTGGGGGCTTTGAGTTAAATTACAACTTTTACAATATCTGGACATGATTTCAACATCTAAAATTTTGCCACTAGCAGTAGAGATGGCAGAAAAGACTCCGTTGAGTGATGAGTATCCTCGTTTTTGCCATGTTCTATCGCAAGATAAACAAATATCGGTTACTTTCAAAGCTGTATTTTGCAATTTATTAGCAGCATTTAACATTGTTCTGCTACAGTTTTAACAGCTTTTGAAATTATTTTTATCAGTTTTTCAAAATTGTTTTAGGTCATTGGCTTAGGTAGATTCATAATGGTACATAATTTTTTGATACCTGCATATCCATGACCCAATAATCGCATACAATAAATTAATTGTTTATTGATATCAAATTCTTTTTTATTGTCATAGTTAGAAGTGTAGAACTTTTGAAAATAGTTACAACCTCTTTTCATACACTTAAGATATAGTAAGGATGATAAACCACGTCGTTAAGTATATCTCTCACTTAGTGAGAGTGTTGAACAACCACACTCTGGACACAGAACAAAACTTAAAATAGACATTAAAACAGCAACATAAATTATACGATAACCAGATATGGCAGGTTTTGAAATAATTGTATCTTATAAGTTTTAGATTTTATAAGCTGAAGCTGACAAATTAGGTGGATTTTCAAAAATTGGTTCAGTAACACAAGTGATGTTAGAGGCACTTGGATTTATTGTCGGCCATTCGATATTAGTACTATCAGATACAATAACAGTATTAACAGAATTTTGAGCATTTCCCATAAACCTTTTCCTTTTTTTATGAGTTTGTGTACATTTCTTAACTCGACAAGCTTTTCCCATTTTTACTAGTTAAACTAACCTAATAAAATCTCAAGAACTGACTGAACTGAAGAATATTGTCGTACTTGATGTACCAAGGTATTGGTAAGTTCTAGAAAAACGCATCAAGAAGTTGTTCAAGCTTATGCATTGCAAGTGTAACACTATTTTGGATGAAATTAAGGTAAAAGTATGGTGTATAAAATTCTTTAAGTGCGTTGCTATGGCGTTGCTAAGGAAATTACTTAAGAGGTGGTTAACTTAAATAGACAATTTAAGATAGTTAAAGATTAATCTGATACATCCAAAACAAATTTTATGATTCTGCATAGTTTGAAAGAGTTAAAATTAAAAAAAAAAAAAAATTGAAAATTTTGAAATTTTATGGGGGGATAGCCCCTTAATCTAATAAGAGCCTTTCTTCAATTAAAAGTATGCAAGGTTATCACCGGGGCACTTTACTTTTAGATTAAAAAATTATACATTTACACATTATTTACAGCTCTATTATTAAAAACTATATTTTTACATTACCATTAATAAAATAAATTACACAATGCAAAATTTTATATTTCTATTTTAACAAATATATTATAAAATAGCACAAATTATAATAAAATATTGTATATTAAATATGCAATGTTAAATTATAAAAAAAGGTATTTAGAGATGCATTCTTAATGCTACATTTTGTTAAAAATAAATAAAATTTTAAAACATTCATTTTAATAAATCTTGCTGATTAATACATAAAAACTGAAAAAAATCAATTAAAAAACAAAAGCATTTGCCAATCATAACAAATACAACTTAGCATTTTATATATAAAAATGATAACACCAAATCGGTGTTATTATTGTTTGGCACTATGCCCGGGTGCTTAACATATATATTTCAGGCACCAAAATGAATATATATCTACTCACATTCACGTGAAGTTAGTGGAAAAGTGGCATGTAAACTTTTAATGTTTTTACAACTAGGAAAATTTATCACTTTTAACAGCTCAGTAACATTAATATTGAAACTACCTTTCTAAATTTAACTAAAATGCTTCACATAAATGAAGCTCACAAGATTAAGGCATGGGAATTCAGTAGATCTGTTCATAAAAATTACTAAAAGATATAATTGAACTTCTGAAATCATTTTTGTAGGAACTAGTACTATGTTCTTGAAAACTATCCAAAAAAAAGGAAAATTTTTCCACCCAACATATTCAATATGGGATGATATGCTCTAAAATTTGTTGCCTGATATGTACAAGTTTAAAAAGTATGATACCTCATTAAAGTGTGCCAAAAACGATACTTGTCATATTGCAAAACATGACATAGTGCTAAAAAGATATTTGACATATTGCACTTTGTATGAGGCACAAATAACTAAATTAAGTCTATGACTGTTGCGATGAGCATATGCAGCTTCTTCATCTAGATTTAAAATACAAGAGGACAAATCTTTAATGTGACCATCAATTGCTCTATTACCACCATATCACATTTCATGATATATAAAAAGGAATGTGAAATATTTTTTACCAAAAAATAAAATATTCCGTATTAGTAACACCATTTGTGTAATCTAAGAAACTGATAAATTCTCTTATTGAACTTTAAACCAGCAAACCATATAATTAAAAGTAGTTGTTCTCTACTTTAATTGTCAGAAGCTTCATCAGAAAAATGTTTAAAATTTTTAAACAATTTTGTTATTAACTTCTCTGAAACACTTTTTTTACCAGATATTATGGTATTATATTATACCAGATATATCTTAGGTATGTAAGAAGCGTTTTTTGTTGATAATATCTAAGCTGATTTTGAAGAATTTTATCACCAGCATAAACACGGATATGTTGCAAACACGATTTATTAAAAAAACTTCGTGTATTTACAGAGTCGATACATTTTAAATATCACAATAAACTTAAAATATTTCAGGGTGAAACTAGGAAGGTACGTCCGACAGTGTTTTTTCATAAATAAAATCGATTACTTAAAATTTAAATATTGAAAACTAAACTAAATAAAAAGTTCAATCACAGAAAAAAATAATGTTAGGTACGTTCATTGTTTTATTTTGATATGTGGTAACTATTAAAATATATTTCACCTTATGATTATCGCTAAACAATGGATTTTAACTAAGATTTTACTTAGGGTGTATTGCTTTGGGTATGTCCAAAAATTGTTATAAATAAAGAAATTGGTATTTTGCTTTTATAACAAAAATAAAAATTTAAAAACGTTTTTTATCGTTT